GCCCTGAAATGGTTTTTTTTTTTTTTTTGTAACTGACCGTGTGGTAGATTCAATCTCGCGCAGATACCGCTCCTGAGGGGAGAGAAAGAACTACAACCGATTAACAATTCTCTTGTTGCCGCATGGAACCGAGTGTTTACCTGTTGTTCATGGTTCCCTTCATCAGGGTTCTCATCATCGAGTGACTTTTTCTCGAGCACGCTTACCTGGCCTTTTGGATGGGCGATAGTAACCACGCAACAGAAGAAGACAACCAGCACGATATAGGAAAAGCGCCTATATCTGCGATTCATTATTCTTTTCAGCATTGGGGAACGTATATTAGCGGGCCAGAATATGTCTAATGCCCTTGATGGTTATTGGAAATAGCGAAGATGTTAAGCCTCCGTTCCACTTGACAGACCCAGAACATATTTAAACCCAAACAGCAGGGTCCCACCCGAAACAGGATCTATTCTAGCGAATTGAAAGAGGCTGAGTGGGGGACTCAACACATAAACAAATCTGGTTTAGCACGCAATCTCCCCCTAAAGAAGAAATTCTTTAATGGCCGCCTCAAAGATGATTGGTTGGATGTTTGCTTGTTTGGGCTTAGTGGGTATTGTGGAATTGCATCGCCACTGGATGTGCATGGGGAAACGTCCATGATACATAACCCCAAGGAAATCAGATACATCGATCGACAGGCCCTCGTAGCTAGAAAGCTTGAAAGAACCCGTGACGTAGACGGAAAGAAACGCTCTGAAACACTCTGTTTTATTACGTGTGTATTCTGTAAGAGGGGAACCTTGGAAGACTGTGGGTCATAATATAATAAATTTAAGGAAAATTGATAATTCCAAGAGTTTTGCCCAGAAAATGATTAACCGCTTTAATTCCAAGGTCAAAAGGGAACAGCGCCCAGGCGGGATCGACAGGGTTTCGGATGGAACGAGTGGGTCGGAGAAAAAAGAAATGTGTCCGCAGCCAGTCAAATGGGGAATATCCGGCTTCAGTACGTGGCTATCCGCTTTTCTTTTTTTTTTCTTTGACTTCTCTCAAATCAGCCCCACAAGCCCCAATTTTATCTCGGCCTGGAGGTCTCACCCCCTTTTACGGACCGAGATCAAGGGTTCAAAATGACTACGGAGTACTAGATCGGGCGCTAAATTTATCGCTAGCTTGCTATCTAGAGTAATGAGCTACTAGCGAATGGGAACAACGAGTTACGCGCCGCAGATGGGACTAGCCAGGCCCTGCGTGTGATAAACTGTTCAGCCATGCAGACTGAGTGATATTTTGGTACAGACTAGTCCTTCGCAAGCCACCTTATCGTAACTGGGTCCAATCTGACATTCTGGATGTCTCGCGCTCTTGCAGATGGGCTTGAAGGGAGCGCTTAAGGGACTACAAATGTACTATTACCAAATATAGAAGGAGCGCTATCTATGTAGGGAACTCTGCCAACAGTCATTTGAAATAAGAATGGAGATCCTTCGATCCATGGATACCATCCTTATTGCCGCTTTTATTCATCGTCCTAAGTCCGCGCTAGCCCCAGAACCTCACGCATACAAATCGAATTGTTGATAGAGTCAAGGAAGAAATTTGAGTTGTCATGACGACTACCACAGCGACAAATTTTGAAGGCTGTTATGCTGTGACACGCGGGACAGGTTCGTGATACTCGCATATCATGAGATTGCTAATTCTCACTCAACTTCATAGTGACGACAAGTAAATGTCTGTCATGCCCTACGACCGAAAGCTTCGTGCAGTCTGGCACTTATGCCGACTGCTTGCCGCCAAGTTCCACGGCTCTTGCCACAACTTGTTACGATGATACAATCAAATACTCTAACGGTGGACATCGCAAATGGTAAGAGGGCTGATCCTTTTGAAATAAGTGGTTTTCATAGGTGCCTCTTTGCTGTCTACCAAACGGTGCTGAACAGTCCTCTAGCGGTGGTAGTGCTTCTTGTGTCAGTTTGACTATCGCCCAAACATTGCCAATGGAGACTGCCATAGCCACAAGGTATATGTGCGCCAATGATTGGTCCTATGGCACCGATGGCACCCTCTACCGAGATCTTCCCGTGTCCACCACCAGTAAGCTTTCATTCCCTATACGTGCACTGCGGGGCCATTCTAACGAACATAGGCGATGTCTCTTCAAGTGAGTTTGACTTGCAGTGAGAGCTGAAAAGAAGCTAATCTCAATATATCGGACTTGTAGCCACCACTTCCTCAACTTCCTCAACTTTCTCAACTTCCTCAACTTTCTCAACTTCCTCGACAGTACCATCCAGAACCACAAGTACATCATCAATTCAATCGAGTCAAGCAAGTCAACTGGAGAAGTCGGGTTCTGGTGGCTCAACACTATCTGACGGTACCATCGTGGGTATAGTGCTCGGTGCTGTAGCAGTCGTTCTACTTGCAGCTATTTTGGCTCGCCAATTCGTTCCTAGGTGGTTCGGCCAAAGAAAAAAATTGAACCATATATACGATCACCCAGATCAATATTGGATGGGACCACAGGCCGACAGATCCGAGGTACGTGAATTGGGAGCGTACGAACCCGACAAAGTGCATGAGATTGGGTCTTCGTCTTCCCGACGTTTCGAGGCTGTTCCCGGACTTCGTTCGCCGCGATGAGGGCCGTAGCCTGTGCAAAGATGGACACTGTGGCACAAACACCTATAATACGAGGATCGAGAGTACAACATACAACAAGTACAGAGTGACATGGATTGGTTGCTGGAATAGGAATAATCTTATGACAAATGTTATCCTTAATGTAGGTAGACCCTTAGACGGAGTAATGCCATTTTTCCCAACCCCGGTGGGTCGTGTAATATATACCCCGGTCCGTTGTAACCAGTCACCACACGAATCTCCTATCCGAGATTCCCGACGTCTTCCAAGATTGGGGCTAGCGCGCACTGGGCCAACCCTATAACGATTTAGCGCTCTTGGCACGGCGACGGAGCTATCCAGACGCGGAGATCCTGGAAGTGGGCGAAGGAAATTAATCGTACTTTTCTGTTGAGATTACAAACAGAGCACGGAGTCGATGTCAGTATGCTAACACCCTTGTTTTTCTTATTTCTTATTGTTTTAGTTCGTTTCATGATTATAAGAGGCTTGCAGTTTGCCTAGGTAAGGCGCTTAGCTACAGATGTAACACTACCGAGGTGGAGGCCCAAGAGTTGCACGTGAGAGAAGACCTCATTCTCTAGCCGCAAAATTAGAAAGTCTCATCACACGCTAAGTGTACGACATAAGTACTGAGTACTCCGTTCTCAATTGCGAATATGAACATTTACGCTTTGACGTCTGATTATCTCCATACGGATGAATACACCCTTGTGATCATTGTGTTAGGTTATAACAATCCAATAGTTAGGGAGAATTAGTTAGGAAGAATTAGTTAGAGCGATAGAACGCTCTCTCCAGGGCAATTGAGTATTGACTAGTAATAACTAACTAGTCGTATCTTCCGCACAGGCCCGTGCCAAAGATACCAAAGATAGCAGCTCAGGGGGTTATCCGCCCAAGCTCGGACTCGAGACTGGATCCATGAATATACGGTAGACGGTCCATTGGCCAGGCTGGACTCGTTTGTATGCACGTTGGACGCCAAGGCAACTGAGTGGGCCCTCACCCGGGCTGTCGTGATCTCAGGACTAGGCACATTCAAAACATTATTACTACCAAGTACGGAGTAGTGCGTATTTTGCCATTATGATGGCTGAGGGGAGTCCCTGCTGCTAACATCTTTCTGTAGCTTTCTTTACCTCTCTTTCCACTCTCTTTAAATTTGCACTTTTGTTTTCTTTTAGTTAATTCCAAAGAACGTGGACCGATATGACAACCACATATGCTACAGATTTTCAAGGATGGTGGCCTACGGCAATCGGTGAAGGTTCGCAAAGTAATCCATCCGAGTTGTTATTTTGACTCACGATCATAGCCACACCAATCAGATGTCCATCAAGTCAGGCCTTCGTCACCTACGGCACTTATGCCGACTGTCTACCTTCAGGTTCTTCGGCAGTTCCCACAGCTTGCTCCAATGACGTCCTCAGTTACAACAACCAAGGAACACCTGCATGGTTAGAAGCCCTAATCTTTTCGGTCATTGGTACCTAGGTACCAAACTTGCTTTACTGACAATCAATATAGTGGCCGTTCAGCTTCGTGCTACACAATGACTTTGGCTATGACATCGCCACTTAATGGACCTTTAACGACACGATACATGTGTGTAGAAACTGACTGGACTTACGATACACTCTATCGGAATTATCAGATATCGACTACGAGTAGGCTCTGGCTTTCCTTGAAACAAAGAAGAAACGATCTAACCTTTACTCACAGGCTCTCCTCTCTCAAGTGAGTTTGCTTGAAGTGAGGATTTAGATGAAGCCCGAGCCTAACTCTCTATCTTCAGCCTCCAGTTCCGAAACCAGTACCATAGTCACGTCCACACCCACGTCCACACCCACGTCCACATCCGCATCCACATCCACCTCCGATACCACAAGTACGACATCCCCTGACTCAACAACCTCGAACCAGGGCGTCTCGTCCCTTTCTGGTGGTGCGATAGCGGGCATTGTGATCGGAGGTGTTGTGGCCGTTTGTCTGCTTGTGGCTTTCCTTTTGCGCCGATATCGTGTTTGGCCATTCAGAAAAAGGGTTAACGATATTAAAGGACGTTCAGAGTTAGCACATCGCCAAGAATTGCACATAGTGCATGAGATCGGATCTTCTGGGTCGGTTCCACAAAAGTCCAACACGGTGCACGAGATGGCTTCTTGAAAGCATTACTGGGTGCCTAGAATCGCACAGAATTGGCTCGTGGGCATGAGGATTACTCGACGTGGCTCAAGCCTTGATGAAGCACACACGTGGTGGAATTGGCTCACCATTGTTTATATACACAGCGATTTCGATTTTAACAAGCTTTGACGCCACTATCGTTGCTTAATGCGAGCCCTCAAGTACAGTGAGAAAGAGTAATTTGAACAGACTATCTCCCTCAAAATCCAGAGCTTAACGGCTTGCTTATACTTAAGTATTCTGTGACCCTGAGCCTGAGTGCCCTCATAGAGCGGCAGATATTATCCTGTCTATATAGGTGCATACATATGTATTCAAGTAAACAAAATCATTAATTCTCGTTCTATTTAAAGCTCAGAATCCGTAAGACTTCCGCTGAGCACCCGTGTATCCGAGCTGTCCCCATCTCTAGCCATATCATCATCAACCTCATCCCCATCATGCTCCTCCTAATCCTCGAAGGTTTCCGGGTCATCGAGATCGTAGAATTCATCATATATATCATCCACAATCTCCCGATACTCTCTGAGATACTCATCAAGCTCAGAATCGTCCTCTCTGAGAATACCACCCCAAATTTCCTGCTTTGGGGGAATCGTCACAGGACCCGGTGTCCAATCAACAGTCTCATCATCGTGACCAGCATCGCTACCGGACACGGATTTGACTTCCCCATTACCAACGGGAGGAACAAGCCCCCTGCCTTGGCATCGAGGACACTCACAGTTCTTTCCAAACAGCTGTACGGCGTGCATATTGCGATCGATGTCTTCGCCGACGGGATCAGCAATCCTATAACGTTGATACGGAATTCTGATCTCCTCCCCGGCTTTGATGTCTTTGTTCGCCCAGACAACTATGCGGTTGGGGACCTTGCCATCGTATCCCCACAGTGCGTTTTCAAAAGGGCGACAGGAATGATTGAACATGCTTAATCCAGGGAAGAGGTAGAAGTTCGCAAACGATGGTTCCATTGCCGAGAGGTCTTCGTTTCTGTCTCGCATTCTACTTTGTAGGGTTGGGTGTAGCACTGGCTTGGGACCATCCCGGTCATTGAATGTTGGATTCGCACCTCGCCGTTCATGTTCCCAGGGAACAGCATTGACCAACAACTTCCGCAGCACAGTCTGAATAACCCAAGTATCGAATGAGAGATCACTGAAGATGTCCACTCCAAGGTTGAAAAGGATATCGAAAGGTATCTGGATGTTACCGGCCAGAGTGAAAGGGAACCAGCTATTTTTCCACGGCTCGTTCGTGTCAGTGCCTGCCTCGAGAACGAGGAGTTCGTTAATTTCATGCGCAAGAAGATCAGGGTCCTCTTGGCGGCGGTGGAGCGTGAGCTCGAGCACGCTCTTCAATAGTAGACTCAAAACAGTCCCATGGCGTTCATTGGTGTGGGTGAAATACTGCGATCCGCCCCAAGTCACTTTATTAGGTCGCATGGCATCATGCAACCAGCCCCAATCGAGGCCACAGAATTCTTTGAAATGATATATTTCGCGCGCAATCGCCAGACAATGGGGAGCCACGCCGTCTGATACTGCATCGTTGGAAGAACAGAACAGCAGACCGCCCCTTGTAGCTCTGAAATATCCTACATCCGCACATTTACACATCATGTCAAGACATACGCAACTAGGTGGGTGTCCCCATCCAGGAAGAGACGTAGGATTATTAATTGCGTCCCAGTTATCCTCGATATGCTGGACCTCTTCTGGGTCAATCACGGTTTGACAGTTGTCACATCGTGGGGCATGGAGAGGGTGTTCACTTTCATCATCAAGCAGCCTGTTTGGGATGAGGTTTCCGCGAATAACGGGCTCCTCGTAGTGAATTATGGTTCCTGCTTTGATATTTCCCGTGGCAAAGACCCCCAAACCATTGAAGGAATTGTTCTTTGTGAATGTCGGCTGCACTTGGCAGGTCCGTTGGGAAGACTTTCCGGCACTGGCATTAGCCGTGAACATATTGGCGTTGAGTGCATCGATGAAATATGGCGATTGGCGTCTCACATCCGCTTGGTCGTATGGATATTTGCCGGCACCTGAGATCCATCCTCGGCTCCACTCGTGTCCATAAAGGGATGGATGAAGCGCTGAGGGATTCTCTCTCCTATGTCCAATCTCCGCTTTCACAGCAGCGCTCACTGTCATTCGTTTTTTGGGAACTGACACATCGCGGTACGGCAGGGGTCTTTGGAGTTGACCCTGCATATGGTCTTCGAAATCATCCCAGCAATTCAGTGCTGCGAGGCTGAGACTGGTAATGCTGTGAAGGGCATTCCTCAGAGTTGGAATGAAATAGTTGATACCATTTGCCTTCCTCATTTGCAGAACTTCCCTTGTCATTGGGACTCCCTTGATCTTCAATTCCATCATCAGGTGCTGCTGAATGGCGTCCCAAACCCGGGTATACATTCCTGGGCGCTTGTTCCTTTGCGTTGCTGTCGTCAACACTTCGCAGAGAATTTCTCCGCGATAGGCGTCTCCAATGGCGAGATCAAAATGGCCCAGCAGATAATGACAATACGCACGGCTGTTCCAGTAAGTCGGATTGTACGGGCTCAGTTTAATTGCCGCGGTGTACATTTCAAGTGCAGACATATCTGTTCTCGTAGCAGGGCTCATTACAGGCCTTGGCTCACGATAAATACCCCAATGACTCAGGTTGCTTTGTCTCGAGACCCCAAAGCGCTCATCACATTCGTATTCCCATAGACGACGTTGAAGGTCTGTTTTTCTCCCGTCTGTGCTTAGACCCCTTGATCTCAGTTCATCTGTGAGTGCATCTTTCGTCCAAAGATCCGGATCCCTGACGTTGAGGCCGTGTATGAACACTTTTTGTTCCATTGCGTCTAGTCCCTGCATGCCGTTATAGGTCTCGTCCAAGCCCTCTGCTGCGAATCTGGCTCGTGCATCCTCACGCGAGACTGGAAGAAGTGGATTGCTCATCAGGTGCTCATAGACATTGTGAGCTAACGCGTGCATTACCGATTCTTCTTCTTCGGTTGCTCGGGTATAAGGTCGATTGGCATGTGCCTTCCATGCACGTCCGAGAGATTCGTCGGGCTGCTCCCAAAATCGACGGGCAAGAAATGCGTCGTCTTCAGTCAACGCTGGGGCTAGCGGCGCTCGATTGAAGAGATCTGGCCGCTTTGGAAACGGGGGTGGGTGGACAATGTCTGCCCCTGGGTAGACTTCGTATAATCGTTGTCTCGGATCCATCTTGATATCTTGATGTATCAAGTATTGCACAACAGTTGCAAGGGTGGTATATGGTAGATCTCAGGGCGTGGATATAGATCGCATCAGAGTGTCAGTCCAATACGGGCCCATGGAGTTGCCATGAGAGTATAAATGTCAGATCAGTCTGATGCTTGCCGCAGGCCACGGCTGAAAGGAATCTCCATATCAAAGAGTCCTACAGGACAAAGAAAAGATAATATCATGCTGGTTTATTTTTGGAGACCAACATAGTCAACTTGGGTAATAGTTCAACAAAGAACAGCCCAAAAAAGTTCTTCTGGTTACATGAACTTGCCCGCAACAAGGAAGGCCAACATCTGCGCAGATCCCTTTGATGACCTCATATCAACACCAATATGCGATGAGCAACGAGATCGGGATCCTCGGAGGTTCTTGAAATCCACACCACTTTTAGTGGGAAACCGCCTGACAGTATAGAGGAATAGCAAAACAAATGATGAAACGCCATGGCATATGGAATTTTCTCGAGAGCTTGTAATCCTAAACCTTGAATCAAGCCTTGGATGCATATGTTCCGGTAGATGTAGAGGTCCAAAAGGTAGTGCGTTGGGAAGTTGCACTGGAGTCTCGTGGGGGTGAACCGTGCTGACCCCCTAAACCCCCAACACAGCCTTGGAGCCTGGAGGAATCCTTCGACGCTTCTGAAAAAGACTGGACTTTAAAAGATTCTCATGTCTCCCTAAGTGTTCTGAATTCACAGCATGCACGGGCAGTCGAATCGTCCTGATCCTCCCCCGCAGCCAGAATGGCGACTTCCTCCGCGTTTCCCCTCGCAGCCGTCCCAGCCAGGGCCTCCTCCCCCTCCTCCACGTCCCCCGGTTGCTCCATATTCACCAGCTGCTCCGTACTCGCCGGCGACCTATGGACCGATTTCGAATCCGCAGAGGCTGCCGTCGCCGGGTGCGGGTGCGGATACAACCACGTGGGGAGTGCGGTTCAACCAAAGCTCTGGTCCCCCATTGCCGGTAAGTCCGAACGTTGGAATGTCGAATGCAAATAACGAACAGTCACATAGCCTCGACCTTCAAGTACCAATGAGCAACAATACGCCTATGGGCAATCTCCGTCGAATCTATCTGTCGCAACTCCTTTTAACAGAATCCAACCCTCTCCGCCCCCACCTCCATATACACCAACACCTCTCGCTTCACCTCCACCACCCGGTGTTCCACAACCGCCCCCAAAGATCCCACAAGGCATCCAGCATGTACCGACCCTACAAAGCGATCAGACAGGGCCAGCTCCACTGCTCGCTCAGGGCGCAGGGCCGGTGGCGATGACTGGATCTTACGGATCCCGCCCTGCGCCTATCCTCAATACTAATACTACATCTATCGGCGCATCGGCCCTTGGCGTTGGAACACCATCGGATTGGGAGCATCTTGGCCCAACACCTGCGCACTTCGATGATGCAGCGTGGTTCCCACCTCGCAGAATGCCCCCTCTGCATCACGAAGGGATTCAACCACAATCAAAGCTTCCGGACGATATTCCCAACGCGTCTGTGGGAAGCGAGTCTGGCATCGTCGCTCGACCGAGAACAGATACAAATGAAACGCTTTCCAGTACAATTTCTGGAGCGACACAGTCGGGACGGGGTAGCTCAAGTTCGCCCGTCAGTCCATGCACAACACATGGAATACCAACACCGCCCCCACTGGCCCGCGTGGATACCACTGGCTCTGCATTGTCTATGGGCGGACGTTCAGAAAGCATCGATAATGTAATAGATGCATGGGTCCGCCCATTATCGCCCGCATATAAACCAGTTCAACAGGAACATCAGGGCGGCACCGGCGCATTCTATCAGAATAGCCCAGTAGAGCGCTCACAGTCAGCGCAAACCAGCTCGTCGTCTCTCAACCATTTGCGATCGAGCTCAATTAGTTCTGCACGAATCGTGGAAGAGCCCAGAAGGGCGGCTACACCGAAAAACCAAGACCCCTTCGAAGATCTGGACCCCTGGTCCAAATCATCCTTGGAAAGATATGTCGCCATGCTACGTAAGGAGGCAGTGGCTGATCTGGATGAAGAACGATATAAGATCTTCACAGCTTTTATGGCCAAAGAGACCAAGCTCCGGGAGATTCTCTATAACATTGACCATGAGCCTGAAAGTAAACCGCTGACCCTGCGAGCTCCCGACCCTGCTCCTCCCCAACCACTATCTATTTCCAACAAGAACGAACCACCTGTTGAGTCGGGACTGATAGCCATTACGTCAGAAGAAATACCGCCTTCTTCGGTGGCAACAGCGACAGAGGATGAAGATCTCGATGATGTTCGCAGTGAGTACAGCTCAGGTGGTCGGCCTCTGCTCGCTAAGCAAGCGCAACGGGGCTCCCAGTTTGTTCCTAGTTTATCGACTGTGCCCTCGGGAGCAGAGTCGAGTCTTTCAAGACCCTTATCGGTCATCTCGGCAGATACGCAGAAGCAAGTCTTGGAGCCCCTGACTACGAACCCCCCGCGACCCATATATACGCCATTCCAGTATACAGAGGGTCCTCAGCGAGGCTCCGACAACCTCACCTTCGCTCGCCCGGCCTACCAAGCCTATTCTGATCTGCGGCAAGCTGCTGTCAGTGGGCGAGTCATGTCAAACGCACCGGCAGCTACATCTCGATCGAGGTCAAACACTGCGCTTGCTTCTCCAGCTCAGAACGAATCTGACGAGACCTTTCTAGGTCTAATCCGTCACAAGAGCGTCGCTTATTCTAAACCGGCTGAGCGGAACTCTCCGCCGCTTCCATTGCTGCCAGAAACTCTTCGCCAGGGCCGGCCGAGGGGCCTCGTGGAAGAATTACGCACCATAGTATGGACACCGTTACACAAACAGTCTGAAAGCTCGTGGCACATCACGACTCGGGAAGAACTCGAGAATTTCCCTGAGGATTTCTCGTACATCCGGCGGACCATTGATCAATGGGAAGAAACAGCGCGAGCCAGACGGCAAAAGCTGGAACAGGAGCGTATGGCTCGTCAGGAAGGATCCGAGCAGCACATCGATGATCTTTTCAATGGGAAAGAGATCGGGTATGCAGACATCAATACCTTGGAAGAAGACTTTCGGCAAACCGAAGCTCGGGTCCAATTAGAGGAGGAACGACGCGAAGTAGACGATTTCATGACACATGTCTTCAACCCCTTAGATGAAGGCCTGAAAAATGAAATTTCGGCGCTTCGCAAGTCCTACGACTCTGCTCTCAATCAACTCGACCGTGATCAACAGGGCAAAGGCTCACCAAGCGAGCGAGGCAGCCCATCCGTGACGATGAAAATGGTCAACGATATTCACAAAAAGCTTGAGATCCGATTCCAGAAACGTCTTGAGATGGCCCTTGACTGTGAGCGACGTCGGAAGAGGGCTGAGCGGCGACCACTTGTGGTCATGGGTGATATAGCTGGTCTGCAAAAGTTAGACGGAGAATTTGACCAGATGGAACGGCGAAACATCCTCGAAGCGTGCAAGGATCGTGATGACCGAGCCAACCGACTCATGGATTCCTTCGATGACGCAATCTTGCACGGGCTAGGCGTAAATCAGAGACTCCTGGACGAGGTTGCCTCGAAAGCAGCCCGGCTAGATACCGCCACCCTCCGAGCCTCTGGTCTACCGGATTCCGAAATCGAGCAGATTCTCAAATCCGCGGCGACCTTTGCGGCGTCCCTCAGAGCCGATTCGGAGGCCATCATCCGCAGCGCTGGGGTTGCAGACATGGCCCTAAACGACGCCGACTATGGAGTCTCCGTTGCTGAAGCTCGATATGCCAGCTCAGATCCGGATATCTTCCATCGGCTGGGTGATGAGAAGAAAAAAGAGGATGAGAAAATTCAGGATGAACTGAATTCGAAGTTGCAGAGCATCCAGGAGGGGCCTGTGCAGATTGAAGCCACAATTCAACGCCTTCTCCTTGGCTTGCACAATGACCCACAAGCCGCCGCCCCCATCTCCCCAGTTCGAGGCTCTTCCCCAACGCACCCATCTGGTGAAGTGTCTCTCCCTCCAAGTCTTCGCCCTTCGACTACTACCCCGGGTCCATCTCCCAGCCCAGCGCCCGCGAACCAAAGCACGGATGATGACTTGGAACATAAACAGCGGCTTCGCAGAGCGCTAGAGGCAGCCAAGCAGCGCAACGCTGCCAGGGTTGGAAGCGGCCAAATGGAACATCCATAACGCGACGAATTGCGACAAATTTTCTTGCGTTTCAATAATATACCCTTTTTTCTGTTCTCTTTTCCTGTCCTTCAAATGTTGTGTTTCTGATACTACGTATTTCGAAGTCGATACCCACGTTATGCAATCGCTAGTTAAATGAAGACTAGGGTGAATTGCCTGTTTTGATCATTTTGTCTCGCATACTTAGTTTACAGCCAATTCTTACTGTTCCTGTCTGATCTTCTCACTGTATTCCGTAGTCATGTTTATAAAATATTCTAGACAAGATTATATGGATATCGAAATATGTGCCTAGTTCGAGTCAGCAGCACAAAACGAGACGGAGTCTTTTTCCCGATGTTACACGAAGATTCTTTTGTCTCAGCATTCTGATCTTGTGTTGACTATAAATATCGACACCATCCATGATTAACTACCTTCAGAGTCCACAGGACACCTTTAATAATAGACCTAATGGTTGAAAATCATACCTTGCTTTTTCCCCTCCCAGAAGACCTGTGAGACTCGGATGATTTTGAGCGCACCAATGCTGATTTTGCTTTCTCCTCCCTTCGCGCCACTGTGGCTGCGTCATGGACAGGGGCCAAATCCAGTCAAGTGATTCAACGCGCAGGAAGGGGAAAAAGCAGCGCACAGACGATATCTTCGAACCCTCAAGAACCAAGCCCAAGAAAGTTAGCCATCACCTACGCCTTGTGTGAAACAGATTGCAGTGCAGACCAAAGCACAATTTTTAGGCGCCGAGGGATAGCGATTGGCAGGCGATAGCAAAGCCAGTGAGTTAAACGCCAATTACTGCCGATCAACGGTGTTGCGCAGTCAAAAGTGCCTGCCGCAGGTCAACAGGCCTTGTCTCGAGCTGTCCCGGTGCTTGGGCCGCATCAACTTGCAGGGATAGAGGATTACCTCTAGACCCAATACCCAATATGGCGGGTCTTGCTGTGCCCACAGCTCCCTGTGCGGCGCGCTCGGATTCGCTGCGCCCTCGCACTATACGATGGATATCGATCCCCCCGGACAACTTGCGGCCGAAAGAACGCCGCATACAACATTAGTCTCCTGCGCAGGAGTTTTGGACCACTTGACATGTTGTTTTGTTCGGTTACACTTCGGTGCTCGGCTTTCCAATGATTTCTCTATGCAATATGCAAGGCAGACCCTTGCTATCACCAACGTATCTTTGATGATCCTGGAGACATTGTATGACGCCGGGTAAATAAAGACATGCGGCGTATACAGCTTGCTTATCTCGGCTACAATCGCCGTGGATTGTCCATTCATCGGGGCTCTTTCCATGTCTGCCAAGAAGCCAGTCACCATCCGCGTTTGGAAGACTCCGTCACATCCAACCACGTTGTTGAACAGGGGTTTTACTGCGCTTTCTTTGTTGTTTGCTTTTTGAGACTTGGTTGCCGCGTGGACCGGCTGCGGTGGCACCTGGACAAAAAAAGAGCCTCGGAGTCCCCGACCTATCCGAGAGCCATACATAGCATCCTAGCAATTCTCCACTACGGAAAATACACCAGGGTGCAATCATGGCCAAAGGAAAAAGAATTTATCTGAATGGCGCGAGTCATGTCCTGGAGATTCCATACAATTTCCAATTCGCTTTCGGTTGCTCGGGCGGCGATCGCAGCTCGTGCCTCTACGTTGTAACATACAGGCTGGGTTTCTGTACGGGAATTGGCTTCCGCAGCGTTGTCCCTGCCATTTTCCCCTGCTTCAGGGTCCATATCGAATATCGCCAACAGCGTCTACATGTGCAGATACGAGATGCAAGCTTTGCATTGGCCCACCGTAGAATCAGCCACCTTTCGTCTCTTGGGGATCAACATACAACATACCAAGTTTTTAACTTTATGTTGATTCCAGTTACATTCTTTCCAGTTGCATGCATTGCTCTCACACGAAAATAGCGCAGCATCCCTACGAGATATGGCCCCGAGTCTCCGGAGACCGTTGAAGCCATGCCCGAGGCCACAATCTGTTCTCGGGTGCCAGCCACTAACCCCCAGATCTTTCCATAAGATCCTCCATTAGTGGGTGTCTGTGCGCTGCGCGATGATGCTGATCCCTTGAGACGGTACTCGATAGGATTAAACGGCGCAGCCTTGT